GCCATTGTGCATTGCCTCAAGACTTGGAGACATTATTTGGAAAATTTGGAAACAAAGGTTTTCACTGATAACATCTCATTAAAGTATCTTGAGACCAAGGTACAAGCCAGTCCTAAAAAATTGAGGTAGTATGATGTAATCGCTTCCATGAATGTAACCCTCATTCATAAGCATGGATGTGAAAATTGAATGCCAGATGCATTAAGTAGAAGAGAGGAACTCATGACTATATTGACCATGGTGATGAACCAAAACGATACACCGTTGGAGGTGGAAGTTAAGGAAGGTTACAAAGAATATGAAGAAGCTAAGAAATTGAATAAGATCTTTGACTACAAATCGATTCCAAAGAAAGGCTTATCTTCGAAGTTCCCTAGACTTAAGATCGTTAAGAGAGTCAATGGATTAATCTGCTATAAGCAAAATAGACTCTATTTGCCAAAAGGACATTTGAGAAAGAAAATCATGTGTGAGTTCCACAATACGCCAGAAGTGGGACATCGTGAAGTACTAGTGACAATGAAAGAATTGTCCAAGAAATACTACTTGCCTAATCTCAAAGAAGATGTAGAAAAGTATGTCGCTTCTTATGCCAAATGCCAAATAAATAAGGCAAGTATTCAAAAGACAATGGATTTGCTAAATCCCTTGCTCATACCAAAGATACCATATAAAAGTTTGTCAATGGATTTCATGACATCTTTGCCCATGGTGCAAGGTTATGATTCCATTTTTGTAGTGGTGGATAGGTTTAGTAAATATACAAAGTTCATTCCAACTAAGTGGGGTGATGGTGCTGAAAGAACAACACAACTCTTCTATGATCATTGGATTTGCCAAAAACGGTATCCAAAGGATATAGTAAGTGATAGAGATGCACAGTTTTTAACGGCCTTTTGGCAACACTTAATGAGGAGGTCAGGGACCAAATTCACCTTGACTACTATATTTCACCCTCAATGAGATGGTCAAATTGAAAGGATCAATGCAATCCTTAATATGTATTTGAGAAATCATATAGCAGCTGACCATAGTGATTGGATACAAATGTTACCACAAGCTCAGTTTTATTATAACATCAGTCATTCCACAAATATTGGAATAAGCCCATTTAAGGTAGTTCATGGGTTTGATGCATACAAACCTATTGACCTAGTGTTAGCAAAAAAATATGAGGATTCTCCATCCACATTCTTTTATGAGGAAGCAAGAATGTGGATCTCTAGAAGAGAGCACATTTGAAAAATGGCCACCCATTTTCTGGAGCAAGCTCAGAAGAAATACAAAAGAGCGGTTGATAAGCATTGTCGTGAAGTTGTGCATCAAGTTGGATAGTTGGTTTGGGTAGACACCACCAACTTGTCCATTCCCAATTCATTGTCACACAAGTTGATGCAAAGATGGATTGGACCTTACGAAGTTTTAAAGGTAATACATAAAGATGTAAACCTCATTGATATTCCAAAGAAAGGCAAGTTTTACCTTGTATTCTATGTCTCAATATTGAAGAAATTTATTCCAAATGAAAAAGGATTTCACCCTGAACAAATATTGAGGCCAAAGCCTTCATATGGTGTGTGGGATAAGACACTAGGACAAGTAAATGGAATAGTAGGGAAGAAAAGACTAAGCCAAGGCTTAGTGTATCAATGTACTTTTAAAGGATTCCCAATAACAAAATATCAATGGATTTCTGCAAACTATCTAAAGCATGTTAAACCACTCATTGATGCTTATGAAGCAAGAATGGAAAGTGTGAACAAAGAAAAGAGGAGTATCAAGAAAAAGACTCCAAAACGATGAAGACATTGTTCCCTCAAAAGTAAGGGAGGAAACTTGAAAAGCAAATACAAAAAAAATAAAATAAATAAATAAATAAATAACAATGCGAAACTAAAATCCCAGTTAGAAATGAGGGTGAGTAGAAGAGTTAAGTAGTGGACTTACTAGAAAGAGGGGTGCCGCTAAGCTAGCTCTTGAAGCAAAGTAAGAAAAGCTCACTCGAGACGGGGATGAGGCCGTTAATTTGGCCTTGTATAGATTGGTTTTTATTTTTTGCAAAAGAAAAATGTGAGAGTTGCTCCTCATATCCATAAGGGATACAAAAGCTAAGGCAGGGTGAGTCTTAGTATGGATCTAGCAATCAAGCAATCACCCATTGCACACCTGGTTGGAACGCGACTTTGGAAAGGAAACAAAACTATGGAAACTAAAATGAAGGGGAGAGGGGTGACAAAAGAAAACCCTCCCCAAAAATAAGTAATAAGTGCTAGATAAGGAGTAGTGACCTTATCATCTTAAAAAGAAAAAATCCAGTGAGAAGGACTATAAAAGTAGGCACATGACACGAAGGTTAATGCGGACATTAACGCTGAAAGTGGGAGAGAATGTCACCTTCCTAAAGTATGCAAAAAAGAGGTGACTCGTATGGGGATTCCACCATGAAGGATGGAAGAAAGAAGCGAGTACCAAAAGGGAGAAGTTCTCCATGTAATGCAAGGGCAGAACTTGGAGATGATGACTTCTCAGGGAGGTCGCAGAGGACTAAGCCTTCGGGAACTCCCTCAGCCCTATCATGTTGTAATAGTGGCATGGGATAGTCCATTGGCCCGGGCTATGAAGGGGAACACGAGCCTGAGACAAAGGCCATAGGACTGCCTGGCGTTGAGAAGGTAACGGATAGAGTCATTTTTCATCGAAAAGAGGGGAATCTAGTTCTGGGTGACTAAACCTTGATGCCCCAAGATTACCGCCGCGGGTCTGGATTGAAGTTGCAGTCTGGGACGGACAAAGTAAGGATTGGCCGATAACTAAGCAGAGGGCTAGTTGGATGCAGGTAGTGAGTACTACTGATTCTCGGTGAAGAATTAGAGCATTACATGTATATTCAAAAGAAACTGGAATGACTATTGCCAAAAAAAAAGAAAACTATAGACTCTTGAATCTAGACTAAAATCAAGAAAGGAGTTGACAAAAGTGAAGAGGGCTTCACTCTTGCCTTTATATATACCATCTAATTAGGAGCTACATGATGATATTCTATAGGACCTCTAATATGTGTTGATTTTACAAGACACATGTCTTAGCTTTATAAGACAAGTTTTTTATATATGAGCCATATAATTAGCTTGTTCTTCAAGCTATCAACATATGTTGCACATGGCCAACTTGTTGACTACGTTTCTATCCTAAAAAGTCAATTAAAGACACGTGTAAAGTCAAAACAACATCTATAAAGCTTCTAGGAAGATTCTATAGAAGATATTAGAGAATTAACCTATTTTTATTTATATTTATCTAATCATATAGGTAATTATTGGTTTATATGTATATGTCCGTAACACAATCCTAAGTCATGTAATGACTTCATATATGACATAATGTATTGGCTTTATAATTTTTAGTCTTGTTGTAATCATGTGTTTCACTTTTTGACTTTGTTTTGTGAATGTGACCAGTTGAATTTATTCCATTGGTATGAAAAATATGTAAAAAATTAATTAAAATTATTTAAAGAATTATTCCTAAAGTTTAATTAAAAAAAAAAAATTGTGCTAAGTTATTCAAGCATTGTCTTTCTTTCTCCATAGCTAGTTTTTTAGAGTCTTTGGTAGTAAGTAGATGGCAAGAAGTAGACTTATAGCCTCTTTGAAGCTCAAGTTTTTGGGCTTTTGTATAAGAAATTTGTAATTGCAAGTTTTGTAGGATGCTAGAGTTTGCCATTGCTTGGGATACATAACATGAGATTTAGAAGTCATATACGATGTTGTATACTTTGAACTAAGAGGCTTAATTGTCTAATTTTATTACTATTCCAATATAGTCATAATTTGATATCATGTAAGATTCTAATATAGATAACAAAGAATTCGATTAGTATACTTATAAGCTATATAATAGACCTAATTTACTTTCCATGAAATCTCTTTATCTCTTCTTTTATCATATAATCTTCTTTAGAATGTACATACCATGATTGGAGGTGCTTTCAACTTCAACTTATTAATCAATATGACAATTCCTAAAAATTTTCTACATTGAATAAAAAATTATTGCATAGTTATATAATACCAAAAATAAAAAATTATTATTCTCAAAGTAGCTAATTTGGCCCTTGTAGTTGACATAATTGATAAACTCCATTTAAACTCAATTTAAACTCATATTTAATTTCTTATACTAAACTTATTTTAACCTTGAATTGGTTGCATTATTTTCATTAAAACATTCTTTTGATCACAACTTTTACTTTATTATAAAATTTTGATGAAAACAATGATGATTAAGTGATGCAACCAATTAAAAGGCCAATTTATCTCCCTAGTTCATCTCTATGATTAATACTCTCTTTGATATATTTTATAATAGAGATTCCTTAAGATATTACACTAATGTAGAGTAAAATTGTATAGCAATGTATAAAGCCACAACCTCTTCTTCTACTTTTTACCTTCTCTATGTTGTTGTTTCTTAAGGTAATAAATGTATGCAATGTTTTTGTATAGCAATCTACAATCATCAAAGTCATATTGTGTAGAGATGCAACTTTGCTATGATATAACTATTTAACTAAGTGCAATTTAATGTTGCATATATATTACAATTAGCTAATATACTATGATTTGACATTGCAATTAGTCATAAATGACAACTATATTATATATATTTATATTACAATTATTATCATATAAATTTGACTTGCGTTGAAAATACAAAGTCACTTTCTCAATTCTAGAATTTGATGCAAAACCCACTTTTAAGTATATCAACCCTTGCCTTGTGTTCTCTCACATTCCATAATTCTATCCTCTGTGCTTCAAGTCGTAAGAATTAAATCGTGCTCTTTGGACGACAACTCTCCTCTGTCGTCAACGAACGTTCTAATGAACGAGAGAGTAACTTTTTCGTTCGTTCGTTCCTTCACTATCGTCGGCGTCGACGAGCAGCGACGGACGCAGGGCAAGGCGAAGGCAGCGAAGGTGGTGAGAATCGATGACATTGCAGAGTGAGTGCCACTGTGGCGATTTGTGTTCTATTGTGTTGTATTGTGCTGTGCTGGGTTGTTGCAGCGATGGGTGACGCACACGCGAATTGGGGCTATGAGGATGCAATTGGGAGGGACAAGGATTTGTGGGGTCGCAGAATGGCAGAGCTGGTGGAGGCCAAGTACGAGAAGCTGCCCAAGCAAGGAAAGCCACAGGGGCGCGAGAGGACTGTGCTGGCGGGCTTCGTCCTCACCGAAGGCGAGGATGCGAGGGTATTGGCGCTCGGCACTGGCACCAAGTGCATTGGGCGCTCTCGGATGAGCCCCGAAGGCGACGTTGTGAATGACGCACATGCGGAAGTCATTGCGCGAAGGGCTCTTCTCAGGTATGGGGTTGGAATCGGTCTGGGTCCAGGGTTTAGTCTATGACATTTGTATTTGCTAGTGGAAGCTGCATTTCTGCATGTTCTTTGTGAGACGACATAACGTGGCTTGCAGTAACACTTGAGGTTCAGCCAATTTTAGATGAATTGATCCTGGAAAATTGAAAATTTCTTGTTCCAGTACATGATGTTATCTGTTGTCTTATGGTACGCATGATTGCGCATGAATCGAAATGAATTATTTCAGATGATGTCTCTCTAAGTTCAAAGAGTCGGAGCTAGGAAATTTAATGTGCCTTAGTCGTTTTGGCTGTTAAAGTAGAACCATCCATACTTTGCTTCTCGACTTCTTTGGACGCTGTGCAAAGACTCAATTAATCATGGTTCAGCAGATTTTTTTATGCAGAAGTTGGACGTTTATGTGAGAATGCCAGCTCAGAGAAAATGGTGAAACTTAGTAAGGGAGGTCAAGTCCCTCCTGCAATTTTTGAATGGACAGGAGACAGTAGAGAGAAGTGTCGCAGATGCCAATTACGGTCGGGTTTGAAGATCCATTTATACATCAGCCAACCACCGTGTGAATACCTGACACCCTTTCACATCGTTGTTATTCATTTGAGAGCAGCTGTCATAAGGTTATTCGTGCACGCTCAGCCAATCTTGCTACCCACATGTAGTCGAAACCGGAAAGTTATAAAAAATTTATCGACGATTGAGATGTATGATGTGCACATTAATGAATGAATATAGTTGAAAGTGTTGGATCAATGTCGACTTACGTGATGACATTCAGGTGGAGATGCATGCATCTTTCCTTATTCGGTGGCAGCACCTTCCGAAGGCTTGGCACAAGAGAAGGACTCCTCTTCTGTTGTGATGGATGGACAATGTGGGAAGAGACGTGTGAAACGTTCAGGTATTTCTTATGGACTCCAACTGATCTTGTTAATGCGTGTTACTGCTGAGAACTAATTAAGAGTGTTAATGACAATCTTTTGAGAATTGCCGGTGGCAGCGAACGGTTGCTGATTCTCAAATGATTCTCGGGTGGATAAACTGTGAGTTGCCTTGGCCTGAAACTTGATATTCTCGTACGTGCAGGAAAACAAACAGGCGCGAAGCTTGCTAGAATAGATGTCAGCGTTGTTGGCAAAGACGCTCAGCTTGCAGAGCAGGAAGCCAGATTTTTAAGCTGGACTAATGGTGTGATTTCTATCTCTAACGATTTTTTCTTGTGAGTTGGTTCCGTACCTTCAGACCCAGGCAGAAGGTTAGATGTGACGATGTTAAGTGCTTTTCCGGGAAATCTCGGTCAAACCGTCTCTTGTTTCTTGTTGATGTGAATGTGTGGATATCTTCGTTGATTCATGTAGTAGTGATTACTTAGGTGAATCTGAAAGACATTAGAATATATTTGGGACCTCTTATACATATGTAGCATACGTATGAGGAGTTCACGTCTTTTCGCTCTGGGCCACTTAAATAATCACCCACATAGGGACTCAATCACCATCTTTTCTGACAACGCACTTTTAACAAGTAAACTCCTTACATTAGTCAACTTCTTCAATTACTTTTGTTGAATGTGTGCAGCTAGCTCTATTGAAGGTAAAACGACCAATGGTGCCTGTTCCTTGGAACCGGAGACTGGTAAAATCTGCAGTATTGGGGAACTAGGTGGTAATGTTCAAGCACCAGGAGTGGCAAGAAGGAAGCCTGGCCGGGGAGATCCTACCATGTCCATGAGCTGCAGTGATAAAATTGCTCGTTGGAATGTGGTTGGCCTTCAAGGTCGTTGTTCTGCACTTTATATTTACCTTGTTGTTGGCCATCGTAAACCTAGCATAAATTCTTCATAGTTGTCCAGCGTCTACTTAGCTGCGACTGGAGATTCAAGGAAAAGGTGTCTAATGTACTTGCTAGTAATGTTCGTTTACTCTCTATTTTTTTTTCTCTGTACCCTACTAATGATTTATTCTTGTCTTTTCTTTTCGAAATTCTAACATCTTTCCATGCTTTATCTCGTTGCAGGAGCTCTTCTTTCTCACTTTCTTGCAGGTCCAATCTACTTGTCATCCGTCACAGTGGCTAGTGATTCGACTATTTTTGAGAGTTGCAGATTAGGTCAAGATACAACAGATCAACCATCCGCTATCTGGACCGACACGGAGCAGGGCTATGGAGCTCCAGCTTGGACCCCAATGGGTCAATCGCTGACGCCATTTCCGTCAGAGGAGGAAGGCTCCATTTTTGAAGCATTAAAAAGAGCTATCTCTAGCCGGTTGATACCACTTGGCGAGCTTCTTTCTCTACCATATACGGTGAATGAAGTAGGTGGAGGTTCTTATTTTATTTTGGAAGTTGTAAATGGATTGTTCCTATGCCTTTGTTACTCTAGGGCGTTGATTCTGGCCAGCATCACTTTTAGGATACTTGAGAGTGGTACTGAATTTTGACGTCGTATTTTTGTTTGACCACAGCCAGTGATTTTTATTACTTCAGCTCCACCAGAGAGGTTTAGACGTCCCGAGCATAGCTCTGCCCTCTTGGCTTGTGGGTTGTTAATCTGGCCCACCTCTTCACTGTTTCTTAGTATAGACCTGTGAATGCTTGAATGAAATTATTTTATTTTGTGGAAAATGTGTGCTAGCTAATGCTGTGGAGCGGATATCGTGGAGTTTTTTTCTCTGAGAATCAGAATATGACAGAGGAATGTGTTTTGTAAGCTCATGTTTTTAGAAAATCCTCAGTGGGCTTGCGACTGCTATTACAGGTACTCAATTAATTGGGACTCTTCACCATGGCATGAAGTCATCCTAGGCACAATAGGGCGCAAACAGGGTGCATCTGCAAAGGGGCCTCTCTCTCCAGCCACCCAATCCTCTTTATGCAAGTAAGCAAGAGTACATTATAGTCTCTCCATCTTCACATTTTGTTAAGCTTCAAGCAATTGAAATGGTGATTCTTATTTTTCTAAAATTCCTTTCTTAATGAACGCGGGGAGTTTGATTCTTCCCAGTACTTTATTTCTGATGCATTAATTCCTGACTCTATTCGAAGAGACTGTATATCATTTATTTGTCCTTGCTATTGGACTCTAGGATTAAACAAGTTACAGCTTTATCTTGTTTCTTTCACTTCCTATAGCTAAAACGAATATTTTGTGTAACGTTCTGCTCTTTTATCTGTATTGCAGGAGGGCATTATTTTCACGTTTTTTTTCACTCCTTAAACATTTTCCATCGTTGTCATACATGGCGGAACTGCCTTACCTCGACTGTAAGGTAAATCTTTCATACTTGGTATCACCGTGTCATCTCAATATTTCCGAGCATGGCATAAATTTGTCCTTATTTGTGGCAGTTGCAAGCGTAACGAACTCATCATTTCCATGTAAAGCTTTTCTGAACGTGCTGGACTCGGTTGGTGATCTATTGAAAGGTATTGAGGGCCATGTTTTAAAAACGCCGTGGTGTTATTACTGTTCAGATTGCTTCTGAAGTTTACGATAAGTCCAAGCAAATAGTTTTTACTGGTCCCTCGCCTCTACAAGACTGGCTTCAAAAGCCTGTATGTCTGCAAAAATTCGCCTTAGCCACCTGAAATCACTCCCATTGGACAGACGATGCAATTTGCCAACGAGCACTGGATTCTTCATGCTCAGCCTATAGTCGACAGGTAGCTCAACCTCTCTCTTGGTTGTACTGCTGACGGTCCTTGGTATTGGACAGCTGATTTCAATTAATATTTGCAATTTCATCAGTTCTACCTTGGTATTGCTGGTTGATTATGCTAGGATAAGTAGTGGGCAACTGAAATTTGACCGTAACGTGTTGCTAATTGAAAAATTGTTGGGTGATACGCAGGAAGGTCGCTGCCCACCTCGAGTGTTACCTTAATCTATAGGTAGGCACTGATGATGTACTCGTCCTTGCGGACGACAGTACTTGTGGACCTGCAGTCAGTCGACTTTGACCTCTACTGTGTCTAAAAGTGAAACTAGTACAAGTGCAATTTATCATTGTTTCTCTCTCTGGATTTATACATATATATATATATATATATATATATATATATAGAGGGAGAGAGAGAGAGAGAGAGAGAGAGAGAGAGAGAGAATCTGCACATGAATTATGTGTTCTATGTGTTTCGTTTATGTGCTCGGGTACCACGTCAAACCACTCCCAATTGACAGATGGTGCTACTGGTTGATATATGACAGCAATTGCTTTCTGACAGACCTGGCTCTGCGATCGTAGCATATGATCAAACTAGTCGATACATTGATCTTTGATGCTCTACGATATTGTTTATTCTGAATACGAACAACAATTGTGCAATTGCTTGCACCAAGCTGTTTGTTTGTTTGTTTTCTTTCTTTTGACGGGGTAGACCCATGGCATTGTTGGAAATGGGTATGTGACAACCATCTTAGGTCCTAATACCCATATTGCTGGACGGGCCTAAGAGGACAAAAATTGGGGAATATTTGTACAACTTACCCATCTAGTATATCTGCATCTGGTGTGTGAATGACTAAGCCGCCATGGGGCACCAAGCTGTTTTAGTCAGCGATTTTGGACCTCTGTGTAATAACTTTTAATCGAGCTACCTGGTTGGACAATAAAATCCCTGAATTTGTACTTGTCATTGCCCAACGCAGATTCTTTACTTTTCCAAATCCTCAAGGGTGATGCCTACTGCATTTTGAAGTGTGTGCTTGTCGGTTGATTTAGTTTGGAGTAAAATAATCTCACCTCTATTTTTAAATGTGAGTATTTTCCCTGCTACTATTTTAATCAAACACGCTTCAACATGTCCTGGCTGCTTTTTTCCTTGCCACAAGTGGAATTTACAATTATTTTGAGCTGACGTATTTTTATTCACTGACTTGTGTGTAAGCCAAGGATAGTTCTTAGTTGAACTCTCATTACATCACAAGATAAAATTTTCATTAGTTGATATCTAAACACTTTCTGGACTGAAAATTGATTGAGCTTGTCTAGCTAATAGTACAAAACCCCTTTTCATACCAACAAATAATTAATGTAGAAACAACAGCTTATCAGTATTGATATATACATCAAAGTAATGCTAATGAAGTTTTATGAGGTGGAAACAAATAGGATGTGTGTATTGAGTGCATTATTCACATGTAACTAATGTAATCTAATGCATACTTGATCATAAGACAAATTTAAACAGATACTATAAAAAGAAAATTAAAATTGTAATGCTAGTTACTAAACTTCATCACATACATGTTCTGGTGTTAATGATATAGAATCTCACTTTCATATGTATCAAACTATTCAAACTGAGATTCAGTTTTAGGATTGTCCAACAAAAGAATGGGTAAGTTGTGCAAATATTCCCAAAAATATAATTAGGTTGATGTAAGGCCCTCTTCTCCAGGTTTTGTTGTAAACTTATATCACTCCTTCAAGCATATGCATCAAGTAGGGTAGCAGTGACTTATTTTTCCCCAAATTGTTGACACAAACTCTTTGACATGAGGTTTCCAGACCAAAAGTTACAGTAGGTTAAAAACCCACAAAACCAAGACAAGAACTGGATCCTAAGATCACAAAACAATGCAGGAGGAAATGTTGGTCACATGCCATTCAGCTGGTTTTGCTGATTGCACAAATAGTGCTCTCAGAATACTATTGTGATGACATGTAATTTCAAGTGCTCAGAACCTGGAAAATACAGTCAATGTGGAAGCCTTTGGTGAAGAGCTTACAGACTCTTGAAGAACCTGTCAATGAGCTGTTTCCAATAAGTAAATAAACCCATGCTGAGAAAAGTACATGATCTTGCATGATGATCCTTACAACACATTCTACAAACACAACCATCAGAGTTTTTAAAAAGATTGATGGATGTTTATGCATTGATAGTTAATTTTGTTGTACAATGCAGGATGATTTCAACACTAGTACTCAAGTATTGCAATTGCACAAAGCATCCAGAAAATTAATGGGTAAATCAAGGGAACCACATTTCTTCTTATAAATGATGGATCACAATTAAAAAAAAAAATAGTTTAGTCCAAAAAGAATAAATTGTTCAAAGAGCCCTTGATTAGATAGTGTAATCATTCATATTTACTTGCAAAAGTACATACAAAACATTTACATGCATGTATACATGTAAATAAATAAATAAAAAAAGGTGCTGCTTATACCACCACAATTTGCCATTTACCACATATCATAGTTTTAGCTAATGTCATCACAAGTTCTTATAAACTTGCATTACACACTATAATGCACTTTAGGGAATATTCTAATGCACTTCACAATGAATAAAGTGAAAATTCTTTATGAATGGAAATTTTAGTATTATATGAAGTGCAATGTGATGTGCAATGTAAGTTTATGGCGATTTGTTGTGACATTAGCAAAAATTGTGATGACATGTGGTGGATGACAAATTGTAACAACAATAGCAAAAATTGTGGTGACATTAGCAACACCATATATATAGGGGAATGTTAAATAGATCCAAGCTTTTACTAAATCAATCCACCCATCCTTACCATCATGAAAGAAAAAAATGACAACTACATTCATTTCTTTGCTATTGAATCTATAACCAACAAAAACCAACCACACTCATTATGATTATAATATTCTTTATCAAGATTGGGTCTATTTAACATTCCCCCATACATACATACATACATTGACAATGTTGTGAAAAGTACCACCTTCAATGGTGATAGCATAATCAATTCCAGCCGTCCCACAAAAATAAATAAATAAATACACTGTAATGTCGACAAGCTTGGCATGTGAAGTCGACCTTGCTGAAGGGGCGTTCATCCATCCATCCATCCATCCTAGGTGGCTTCATCCCTGCTGGAGGATGTCTATTTCCGTGAGGTACATCCGTCGTAAGTAATTTCATCCATAAAAGTTCATACATTACAATGATTTCTTCCAATAAAGGTCACCAATTCGTCCGTCCGTCCGTCGTGGATGACCACACATAAGGCTTTGAAGGGAGGGGGTGAGTGTCACGAAGCGCGGGGACGGGGGGGGGAGTGGGAGAAAGTATGCGAGAAAGGGATGGATGAATTGATGAAAGTAGAGATGGGATGGGATGGATGCAGCTCTCACTTACTTACACACTCACTCTGCGTTGTGTTGGGTTGGGTTGCCCTGTGGTCCAGCTCCGGGCGTGGTGGCCGACCTGGGGGAGGAGATGGAGGAGGGAGGAGGGGTAGTAGTAGGACTGTGGACTGCGTGGCAAGCATATGCGATCATCATCATAACCATCATCCAGTGACCACACACCACACCTGTATTTCTACAGGAGGAGGGAGGAAGACTGAATCGACGATGGACCTGACTGTATCACACCCGTATCTAGTAGTAGCAGTAGTAGTCAGTCAATTGTCGTAGCGCCCCAGACATCGATGCCGTCGCGGCTAGCTCCCCTTTCTCGTAGCCCCCCCCCCCCCTCCCCTTTGGTACGTATAAATGTGTGTCCTGGATCTCCTCTCTCAATAATATGGCCTCCAGAACCTGATGGCCCCTTCATCGCTCCTTTTCCTGTTTGTTGCCCCCCCTCCCCCCGTTCTGTCGCACTGGTGAGAGTTTGGCTGTATCTCCTCCTCGATCTCTTCCTCTCTCGCCAGCGCAGTCTTCCCTGCTGCTTGTGACGACGGCGACGACTCGTCTGCAGGGTGGACTTACCAGGAGTGCGCACAGCTTGTTGTAGCTAGCTGCTGTGCACTTCGGGTCCCTCTTGCGCTATTCTTGTCATCACATGTGGGTGCTGCTAACGAAAGGGAGCTTCATAGCGATGGAATCGAGCAGGTTGATCACACACGACATAGCTGGTTGTTGTGGGCATTCTTGTGCTAGTAAACTCCTTCATGCAGAAGTGCGCTTCTAGCACCTGCTTGAAGGAGTTCATTGGTATATAAATGCCCACAACATGATGACCGATTAACGTGAGCGACGCTACGCGAACTGGTGATCGGTGCTCGATGCGAGTATATTGTGTGTACCTTCTTTGATAGTGAGTTATGGTGTATGCAGCTCGCCTTCCAGCTTTGGATACATTACTGCAATCGTGTCTTTCTGAACCTTATGTTTTTTTCGTTAACACACATCGAACCCATGGTGGTGCTCGTGGTACAGTTGAAGTTTGCAGTATATTTCATCAATCTATGCTTTTGTTCGTTTGGAGGATCTTGACTGCGTGATTTGAAGTTCCCTCTGGCAAACAGCCATGGGATAGACTGTTTAGGTACATCCTTAGGGTTTTCTTGGGAAGTTCTGATGCATGTGCAGTTTCCATTCGAAGTAGTGCTCCAGCTTTAGATTTTCCGGATTACAGAAGAATTAAGTGTCCTCGAAATCTACGGGTCAGTTTGGCAAGGCGACTGCTCTGGATTTTGCATGAATATAGACTGTGAAAGCTATCTTACACATGCTTCTTGTCACTGCAAGCTTACGAATGATATATGCTGCTGCTGCTTCTGTCCCCATTCTGACTCATACTATTTTGTACAGGGAAAGTCACGTGCTCTAACGCGATGTGTCCATCGCAAAGTTGCCAACATGCTACACGCAGCAGCCACGTTGAAATGATTCTTACATATAAAATATGGCAACTCATCGGTGCAGTTGTACTAGGTTTTAAACACTCTCCAGTGAGAAATCTACAAGTTCCTCCCATTCAAACTTCATGTTTGATGTAATCTTTCCAATTAACATGTGTCATCCTCATTCCAATGATTACGTCTATGAGATCAGAAGCTAGCATATTGTCTTTCAGGTTAGTCCTGATGAATTCTGCTCAGTCGTTTAAACCGTTCCAGCTCATGACATTTGAAATACATCTTATTGTTTGATCTGCACGTGCTCACTTTGCAATGCAACACCCAACAAACTGTCATAACTTGTCAATACGGACCAGAATCTCCACATAATGCGTTTGACGATGTTGCAGCTACACGCTTCTCCAGAAAAAAAAAAGTGTGTATGTAGGGATGGGTATTCCCAATACTGATATCTCAGGATAGTCCATAATTGCCGACTTATTAAATGCCGATAAGGACGGAGCGGGAAACTGTTGGTCTTATGGGAGGGGTTTGATTCTGCCCGCATGTCCTCGTCCTAGTCCATCGTTTCTGTGTTGGTCCTCGACTCATGTTTTCCTTCATGATAAATCGTAAGTTGTATCCTCCACGATTAACCGCTTCCACCTGTGACAACTGTAGTTAGTGCCTCTTTACCCACCAATTCTGCGGCCATTGTAATCATGAACCTGTCCTGCATAACACTAACTTGATTCTCCATAGAAATAGTGCTTTTAAAAGTAACTATTTTTTTTGTAGACATAGCTTGCCAGCAATTATTACTCATAGCCAAAGGAAGAGCCAAAAAAACTGTTCACCACATCTCATACTTGGTTTGCTTTCTTATCTGGAAGGTGGTTTGATGGTCCTCTTGAACTTTTTGTACTTGAACAGAATTGTTTGCACTCTTTTCAATGTGTTTCTCGTAATAGAACGATAGATGATTACAATCATGTGGTAGAAGAACGAAATGTTTCACTGAAACAACATTCTAGTTAATTCATGTTCATGTCCATTTTTGATATGACCAACTTTTTCTCACATATTCACTGATTATGATATTCTGTTTTGAAAATGAAATCATTAATGTATATATTTGGTAACTATTATCTCAACAATGAATTATGTTCCAAAATAGAAGTGTCTACAAACGTATCCTCCTTGTTTCAGATAAGAGTTCAACAAATCTACCGGAATTAGTATTCTACTCCGAAACATCTGTCCAACCAGACAGATAAAAGAAAACCGTTAAAAAGTAAACTCGTACTTAATTCTCCCTTTCGCAATCCAATGAGCACTTAACAGAACCCTCATGTCTTGCTCTTGACAAAGAGAAATAAGAACAAGGAATGACTTCAAAAAACATATATCGAAATATGAAACAACGTAATCTTAATATCATACAGAACAACTTCAGCCAACACCACTGATGTCTCAATGCAATTGCATAAATTTGACAAACCTCCACGTGAAATCAAGAGACAAATTATATGACCCGGTACCCAACAGCGTATCGACTTTCTGTGCAGCGTTTGTCGGATTCTGAGATCCACTTGCTTTCGCGCAGCAGTGGTATGCATTCTTTTCCGATCTGATTTTAAGGGAAAAAATAAAAATAAAAATAAAAAATAAAAAGTGTCTGGCGGTGCAAAGCTGCTCCGTGCAATCTCCTGCTGACTCGTGTGGACAATTGGCTGTAGGCCACCGAATTCACTTTCTGCCCCAAATATTCTCACCACAGCTGTCACGAAATTCAACCTTATCGATTTCTGTCGGAAAGGCTGTGAGGTTTGTGCGCTGAGACAGGCACCCGAGGAACCCGAAGCGTCATCTTGTTGCCATAAGGCATGTGTGTTCCTGAAGCTACAGATCCGATAAAGCCCTTCGCCACAAATATTTTGTCGCAAGGGACCCGTAGAGACCAGGTCCATCGTTTTTTAATATTTTATTTCATTTTTTTTCTCGGTGCTCGCTCTCAAAGATCCAGGACCCGAAAAAAATCAAGAATTATCGCCAGGAAAGCCGGGGTAATCATGAACGAGGGTCGTTGGCCAATGTTGGGAAAAAGATTTACGGCGATCTGGGCGTGTGATGTCACCCACATCAAGGTGCCCTGTCTGGTTGCCACTTTCGCAGTTTCACGATTGATCCTCACTCATGCCTCCGGGAGCCCTGAAGAAATTCCACACACAAGGGTGGGGTATTTCCTTCAAAAACAAATCTATGACGGCGATTTTCTTACCGCATCGCCACTGGTGAGCGCACGAGGTTACGACGTGACAGATGTAAAACTTTCGCACTCAATTCCCAAAGAAAAGCAGGAAATAACCCTATTCTGTCTACTTGCATCCGCTGACATTCCCACACATTGTAGATGGGATGAGCACCTGAACCATATTCGCGGTCCGACTGAGACACTGTGTAGTGGGGTCGATGACATAGCACTGACTCGTGAAGTTGCCCAGACGAAGAGGGGATTATAATAAGCTTTCTTTAGTACGACTGTTCAACTGACTGTTCAACGTGCGACTGTAGAGAAATCGTCCCTCCACGATGCTTCTGATGATTGATGCTCTTCACCTGACAGACTATGGGACTGAATCTTGGTTGCAAGTTCTTTCGACTCTTCAGCTTCTGTGACCGACGTGATGAGCTTGGATGTGGTTATCTGCACAGGTGTACCATGATCCCTCTCTCCGATACAACTATAGCTCGTACATTTACCTGACGGCTACGAAAATATTCCTAGGGTTGACGTTTCGACGATGCAACTTGTCGGTGAAGGGTGCGTGAATTCTGGCTCTTACCATCAGGCTCTGATTCCTGTATTTCTTGTCTGCGAAAGCTGCACATATCAACAAGACGCGTAAATATCGAAGGCAGTGAAGTAGCCAGAATTATGTGATTTCGAGTCGTGCACAATCACCCTTTGCAGCATCAGAAATATATATATATATATATATATTCAAGGTGACGCCTGACGCACTGCGGTAGAACTGTTCTAGGATTGCGAACTTACTCTGAGTAGATATGAAATAGCAGCACAGGGCGATTTCAGTCTACTAATCCTTGGCATGCATCCAGAATTTCTCGGAGATAGGTCAAAATTTCACGTCACAGAGAACGGCAGTCTAAGTTCTGCTGAGGAGATCTTCCTCGAAGTGACGTCCTGCAAGTTACGCTCGAGCAAAGATGGATTTCAGAATGGTGGGCGGTTCCGCTTTAGCTATTACCGCGACGGAAAAGACTGAATCTCGTGGGAGCAGCTCATTCTGCTCTCGGAACATGGTCACCTGGCCTGATTGACGACATTGAGTACACGACGGTGAGCAACTGCGTAGAAGGGTTTCGCTGAAGAAGAATTGTGCAAGTACTGCCTCGCCAGAACAAACTTCATTTTTTACCGTCGGACTGGGACAAACATCGATGCAGACGTATAAACTGAGGTAAACAGAGGCCATACCCCAAAGTTAGACACGACCCCACCATGCAGTCCTTGAGCAACAATACTGAAGGTGACAAAGACGGAGAAGCAAAAGCACCAGAACGAGAATACTATCAGAAAGAATACAAGTGAATCGTAAAGCATGCAACATGTTTCTCTTTACAGCACTTTCAAAAACGATCAACAGAGGGGCACGCTCAATGGCAGAAAGCGTCGACCACAATCAACTACGATCCAGGTGAAACTCCCGAGTAATGTAACACCGCACACAGAGCAGGATCCTTGCAACACAACTGATTGACTACTTTAGCAAAACCAAAGCATATGAATTCTCTTACCTATCTGAACAGAACTGGTAAAGTCAGGAAAGCTTGGAAGGGTCGATCCTGCAGACAATTGAGGCTGTGGTGGGGGTTTTAACCCAGATTGGTATGCTATGTTCACAATCCACAACAACATCATGTCTCTCATCTTCTGCTTCTTTCAAGTCATGAATCATCGGGGCCACCAGCATCGACAACAGATTCCTGCGGCCCTCGAGCTGTGTCTATGGAGCCACGTCTGCCCGTAACGATGACACAGAGATCCAAGCATACAAATAAAGAAAGAATCTGAGGTGAAAGCGTTCGGCCTTTTTCTCACTTTTTGTATATGCATAAATATACTTATATATATATATATATATATATATATATAGTGTTCAGTGGGTTTTAAAGTGCATGACTTAAAGCGCATGATTTTTTGCATTCCATTTTGGTCTTGTCCATGAACTTTGTTGTGGACCCTTTGATTGTAGCTCTTCTTGGGTTGTTAAAGTGGCTACTGCAAATTACAAGCTTGCTCAACACAATCTTTTCTCTATTCAGTATGTTTTTTCTTCTTAATTTTGATTCATCTCATATATATTTCAACTTGTGATTTTTATTTAATCTTCTGTATGATACTGTTTCAATATTTCAACATTGACTTCAGAAGTAAGTTCATGTGGTTCTTTTCAGTCACAATCTATCTCATACATATTGTTGGCTATGGATTAACAACTTAATAAATATTTTTGTATCTATTTTATGGCTTGGAGCTTCAAACTGCAATGCAATGCAAACATTTATGTTTTAGTAAATTGTAGCTAATTAACGATACATTCTAATTTTTCCAGTACATGGTGAAATAAAAATAATTCTAATTCAAACTTTTCTAAAGTTAATATTTCTTAAACCTTTGAGTTGCAAAAGCAAGTCAAACTTATAAATTAGATGGTAGATTCAATTTTTTATAGTTTAATTAGAAATATATTACGATTAGAATTAGTTTAGTATTATATTATAGCAACCAATGTTAAATAATTAATGACATGTTCATTCTATGTGACAAATATTTATACTATTTAGGTCAATAGAAGTAAGTAGCAGTTAATAGGAATAAGTAGAAATAAATAAAAATATATTAAGTTGGTAATATGTTTCTTAAAAATTATCAAAGACTACTATTGGAAAATCTAATTGTTTGAACACTTGGCTCTTAAGACTTGTTGTTTTGAACAACACTTTTATGTGACCTTTTTTATTTGCTGTTATGTGCAAAGGCATTTTCAATCTTGTTAACAATCTTTCTTAAGAAAATTGTAGTCATTTTAAATTTATTTAAAAAAAATTATATTAAAGTAATATTAATGTATTTTTAAATTTTAAATATTTTAAATATTTATTTTTTAAAATTTATTTTCTTTTATATAAATATTTATATTATATATATATATATATATATATATATATTTTTTTTTTTAAAATAAAAATATTTTTATAATAAAAAATACCTACATATTTTGAAAAAAAAATTAAGATTAAATGATAAATAAATAATTTAAATTCATTAATTTTTTTATAATTACAACTAAAATTTAGCATAATAAGTTGCAAAGAAAATTAAAGATTTTATGAATAATAAAGATTGTATGAGTTTCTTTTGACAATTGTAATACTCCAAGTAATTTTTAATATTAAAAATTATTAAAAGAGTATAGTGAAATTTATTTAAAAATATATTTTTTTTTCTTTTTAAGAATTTGATAATTTTTCAAGGATAAAATTATTAATTGAATTAAACAAAGATCTATATAAAAATGGATTTAAAAAGATTATATACTTTAATATGCATCAAAAAAAGAACTGAATAGAAGATTAAAAATTAAACCAAGTATGGGCATTTTGAATATAATATCATGTTGTTTAACTTAAAAATGTATTGATGTGTTTTTAATATCTAATGAATAATATTTTTTAAGAATTTTTAAATGATTTTATTATTAATTATCTATACTAGATTTTAATCTAATCTAAGAATATAAAAGATGATAAAATTTATGTTTGTTATGTATTATAAAAAATTAGAGATACAAGATTCTATACCAAGATGGAGAAGTGTGTATTTTAGACTACTCAATCTGACTTCTTCAGATATATCATTTGAAATGATCATCTTATGATGGATCTTAAAAAAGCTTATACTATCATAAATTAAAAGATTTCAAATGCAATTGATAATGTTTAATGCTTATTAAAATTTGGTAGTTATTATTTGATTTTTATTTAGAGTTATTTTCAACTTGCAGCTTTACTTATATATTTGGCTTGTAAAGACAAACTTAAGTGTAATAAAAAAATTGAAGCAACATTTGAAGCTTAAAAAAAAGCTTTTATTTTTGCACCAATCTTGTATAATGTTAATTTTTTTGAAGCAATTTTTGTAGAAACAAATGTATTAAAATTTGCTTTGAATACAATATTGTTTCAAAAAGAAATAAATAAAAATTTTCATTTAATAGCTTTTTATTCAAGAAATTTTTTACCACCCAAAATTAATTATCAGATCTATAAGAAAGAACTTGCAATAATAGATTTATTTTAAAAATAGAGCCATTATCTAGATAGTACTTAGGATCTATTGATAATTTATATAAATAATAAGAATAACAAATATTTTATATTAGCACATATTTTGAATTATTACAAAGCATATTAGAGCATGTTTTTGTTAATATTTAAATTAAAAAATACATATCAACCAAAAGAGTAAGAAGATGTATCAAACATCATTTCTAAATAATCTTATCTTGTGCTAAAAAATAAAAATATAAATTTTGATGAATAAAATATAATTCTTTTGAATCAAGAAAAATTTATAGCTATAAAATCAATATTAGTTATTGATTCAACTCTTCTTAAGCAAATTCAATCAAGTATGTCCTCAATTTTGTTTTATTTGTGATATTAAGAATAATCTATCAAAATGCAATGATACTTTTAGATTTGAATTTAAGAATAATATATTTTTTATTTTGCTAGATGCTTATATGTATTATAAAAATACATATTTATTCTAATAATCACCTAGATATTATGAATAGATAGAACTAGATTAAATTAAATAAATTTAATAATATCTTATAAAGAAGCTTATTAAAAGCTTCATAGATACAACTTTTATTTTACATGTGTTTGTAGTTAATTAGTAGATTAAAAACTTAGCCAATAAATTAGCCACATATTGCATATTTTGGTAGCTTATGATATAAGCTTACTATGTAGTGCTTATATGAAAAACCTACCTTGTAAGTTGAGATATGTGTCTCACAAGTTGGACATTTTTTGGAGGTCTTATAGAATATTGTCATGTACCTTCTAATTAGATAGTATATATAGAGGCAAGAGAGAAATATACTTCACTCTTATCAATACGTTTTTCATCTTTAGTTTTATTTTAAGAATTTTTAATTTTCTTGTCTTTGTTAATAGCCATTCTAATTTCAATACTATATTAGTTTGAATAAGTATCTATTCTTTTCAAGTGACATAAGAGTATATTAAATTTTTGGTTCTTTAAAATTCATGTCCTTGACAATTTGACAAAAGTAAATATATATATTTATTTTAATATTTATCTATATAATTAAGTAGATAAAATAAATTTATTTTATAATATCTTCTAGAATAGCTTCTTAGAAGCAACATAGATGATGCTTTGACTTTACATGTGTTTATAATTGATTGATAGGTTAAAAACTTAATCAATAAGTTATTCACATATTGATAGTTTATAAAACAAGTTAATTATGTAGTGCATATAGAGAAATCTTGCCTTATAAGTTAAGATATGTGACTTACAAAGTCAACACATTTTAGAGGTCTTATAGGACATTGCCACATAGCTCTTAGTTAAAAGTATATATGGAGACAAGAGTGAAGCCTTCTCCACTCTTGTCAACACCTTTTTAGTCTTTAGTCTTGTTTCAAGACTTTTTAATCTTCTCGTCTTTAGTAATAGCCATTCTAATTTAATACTATATCATCTTTGAATGATTTTTTAGCCTTTTTGAATAACACAAGAATGTATTGGCATTTTATTTCTTTGAGGTTTATGTTCTTCACAATTTTTCAAGAATTCTGATTCATTGTTCTTATTTTATTTTAGAAGTGAGTGGATTATCCAACTTCTATTATTGTATTTTGAAGGTTTTATATTATCTACTTTTAAACAAATTATTTAGTTTTATAATATTGATATTATATTTAAAGACAATAGATTAGTCTTTTTTATAAAAAAAAATTATTTCATATTAAAGGTTATAGATTATCTTTTTTTAAATTTGACTTGTGGATTTGTCAAGTTGTTTGAAATGGAATGAAAAATTATGTATTATACATTGGGCAAAAGTGAGAATAAATTTGCAACTATTGCAGATCTTCACAAACTTGTCAACTCTCTTAGGATGGAAATTTCACGAATTACTAGTAGCAACTAAGGAAATACTAATCTTATACCTATAGAAGAAGTTCACAGTTTACATAAAGAAGTTGTATAGTTGAAAGTTGCTTTTATAAATATAATGAGAACAAGGATTAGTATACCCCAAAAGTTTGACGAAACAAGATTAAAATTTTGAGGATTTCTACAACAAGTCAAATTCTTTCTAAGGCTACATCCCTTCCAATATTATGATGAATTTACTCAACTTGGATTCATAGGCAGACTTACATCTAAAAGTGTTCTTTCTTGGTTTGCATCTTTGATAGAAAAGAATTCACAATTCTTTTATGATTTGAATTCATTCCTAGAAGTGTTTATGACCATATTTGAAGAAAATAATTAAAAAAGAATAGCAGAGATTAAGCTCTTATCTTTACGACAAGGATCACAATCAACTACCATATATATTGCTGAATTCCAAAACCTTACTTACGATGTGGATTAAAATGACAAAGTCTTTATCAATCAATTTTAACATAGGTTGAAGGATAATATTAAAGATTTGTTATTGACAATGCTAAAAGTAGAATCTTAGGAATAGTTTATTATTCAAGCTATTGTATGTAATAATTAATTATTTAAAAAACATCAAGAACAAAGATTTGGATAGAGAGGAATAAGTTAAGTAATGATGGCAATTTCCAAGTTTTCAAAAACTTATTCATCAAGTCCAGAACTAATGCAAATTGATTAG